TTAGTCAAAAGTTTCAGAATTAGAATATTCCCTGTCGACAGCCCTAAGATCAATAAGAAGGCAATTAAAACGTTGATGTACTTCAGACAGTGTCTCGGACTTTCCACAGAGAAAGCTTTCATACTGTCTTACTAGATTGATCTTTCTAGTCTCCTGAACCTGAGTGGTTCCTTCATATTGGACACATAGAGTATCCCATACGGATTTAGAAGATTTAAGTTTCATCACAAAGTGATAAATCTCATCAGGAAGAGACATAGCTATTATAGACCGAGCACGCGTGTCTATAGCTATTTTCTTCTTGTCCTCATCACTCCACTGATGTGGAAGCTTTGGAATCTGCCGTTCAGGAATCGCGGCAGTCGTAGCTGTTGCTGGAACAGCCGGAACAATAGCAAATGGAATATRTGRTYCATTTTCTATATAGTGTGGAATTTCAGGATCCACACCTTCCAGAAAGAGGGACATCCGGTTCTTCCAGAGACAAAAGTTGTCACGAACAAACCGGGGAGGTTCGGCAAGAGAGCCATTGTTTTGTGTGTGTGTGTTTGTAATTTGTAAAGCCAATTGAAAGCAGTAAGTTATCTAAGAAGAGATAAATTAATACAACAAAATAACAAAACAACAAAACACAAGTAAAGAGAGAAAACACTGCTCTGAACCACTTGTTGGTCCCGAAAGGGTCTACAAGATAAGACACAGTTTGTAGAAGGGGGGGGTGAATACAAACACAGAGTTTTCAAATTTTAAATATATATTGATAGAAAAAGATCAATACAGATTTTACAAGATTGTTTGCGGAAAGATAAAGTAAAGAAAACCTATCTAAACAACCTTTGGTTACACACAGATCTTTAGCAAATACAAGAAAAGATAATGCTAGAAAACAAAGATCTTTTACTTAAGCAAAGAGAGGCTTGAAGTAAGAATAGGTTAGCAGAGAGATGCGCGCGTTCATTCTCTCATGCACGGAGAAGAAAACACTTCTATTTATACCCAGTGCATTAAATAAACATTTAATGCAATAAGGTAGGGTATAGAGTGCGTGTCAAGCCTTAAAAGGAAGGCTTGTCCTTTGCTACAGTGAATAGTACAAAAGCACTCTTCTTGAGCAGACATCCTTGCCTAAGTTGGTGGACAAAGAGTCGACTAATCGGCTCCGTACCGTACTAACTTTAGTAAGGGTATGGGTTTGTCCTTTGTGTGCAAAAGGACAAGAAAACAACAATCGTGCTAAGCAAGCTTCCTTTGATCGCTGAATGYTGGAATAACCTGAAGGTCTCATCATCATTCGCTGAAGCTAGAGCAGTCTTCACACATATGTAGAAAGGTTCGTAATCACTGAATACCGCTTCAGATCACGTACTCGCCAGTCTCTAATCTTCAGTTTCAGTCTTCGACATTTGCTGAAGGTTCTTTGGTGTGAGTGTTGTTTTCTTGAAGCAATGTTTGTCTCTGAGATTTACAAAGCAAGTTCCTCAGCGATCACTGAACATACTCAGTGTCTGATCGCTGGAACTGAAAATACAGAAACAAAATTACATCGATAGATTAAAAGGGGTTATCATCAAATCACTGAGAGAGAGGATCAACAGTATCCATTAGCGAACATTTCCTTCTTCAAACAACTCTTCACCTGAAGAATTTGTTTCCCGATATCCTCTAACATAAGATCTATGCAATGGGCAGCACATGGAGTCCAATAAAGATGCTTTCTCGTAGATTCTAGCATCTTCCCTTTAAAGTTTAAAATAAAAATATTAAGTGACAAAATACATAGTACTATTAAACATACATAATATTATTATTACATATATAATATTATTAATATATAATTAGGAATAGACTAAAATAGTAACTCATACCCGCTTTAACGTACGCAGATGCATTATCGATGATCACTTGGACTACATTTTCTTCTCCAACATCATCCATCATTTTATCAAGAATTCCAAACAACAAATTTGCGTCTTTAGAGACATCGGAAACATCTATAGACTGCACTAATACAGAACCCCTTGGAGAGTTCACCATAAAGTTAATTATGTCTTTTTGGACAACCGAATCATGCCATCGATCCGATAAAATAGAGCAACCTTTTTGGGCCCATTCCTTTTTATGTTCWTTTACTTCTTCTTCAACGATTTTTACTTCTTGGTTGAGTAAAGGGACTCTTAGCTCATACACGTTTGGTGGTTTCATTCTGGGGCCAAATTGCCCAATAACTTCAATCATTACACTAAAGCTATCATAAGTAGCGACATTAAAAGAAATGTCGACATCATAAATCCACCTTGCTATTTGCGTACAAGCTTTATCCCTTAACTCCTTTCGAACCACCGCATTTATGGTTTGTTGTATCCCTCCTTTTCCATTTTTTTACCTTTGATCACGTCTTTAGGATTAGGAGTGAAGAACCTATCTAGGGGACCTTTTTTTCTCGGTCTTTTTCGTGGGGTCACCTTACTACTACCACCTTCTATTTCAACACAGTCATCGTCCTCTTCACCAAGATCATAATCATCTGAATGCAAACTTCAGTTGATTAAATTCTCCACCTTCGCTACTTCTTTTTTCTGCATATAAGACTTTATTTCTTCTTTTACATGTTGTGGAAAATTTGGACAATCAGTAAGAGCCGATAGACCTCCAATAAAATGCCATTTTAAACGATATACAACACCCTTGACTACTTTACCACAAAAGTGGAAAGTGAAATTGTTCCTAGATTTAGGATCTTGAGTTCCATATTTTCTACCAGGGTCACCTGATGCAGTGTTTGAACTTGAACTCGCAATAGGTTCCGATTCCGACATTTTGTAAAGTGGTTGTTGACTTCTGCTTCTTCAATTTGTTGCTGACTTGTTGTCGATTTTTGCTTCTTCAATTTGTTGCAATTTGTTGCTGACTTGCTGTTGACTTCTGCTTCTTCAATTTATTGCTATCGACTTCTGCTTCTTCAATTTGCTCGTTGTCGAGCTTCTTCTTCTTCTATTTGCTGGTTGTCGATCTTCTTCTATTTGTTGGTTGTCGAGTATCGATTACTGCTGCTGCTTCTACTTCTACTTCTTCAATATGCGATGCAAGTGTGAGTTCGTTTTCTACTTCTTTGCTGGTTGTTGAGTATCAACAATTACTCACGTCACGTTTTAATCTGATTGATATGCGATGCTAGGTCTCTCACAGTGCGACTTCTACTTCTTCGCTGTCGGCTTCTTCTATTAGGTCTCTCACAGTCTCATGTTCTATTTTAATTAACTAAGAAGCCCAACTAAAGACTGAAAAAGGGAGCCCAAAAATGCAACATACATGATGCGCTAATGCAAAGGTGATGCACGCATCATGTGATGCGTAGGTGATGTGAGCGAATCATAGAAACGCAACGCATCAGACCCTTTGATGTGTTTTCTTCACGCACATTTTTAAACCAAGTCCCTGATGTTCTTGTTCTTATTACCTCTTCAAGAAAAGCTACCATGATGTTGACATTACACTATTCGTATCAGTTTCTTGTACCCAAATCAACTTTCTTACAGTTGTGTCTATACTAATCAATTCCTAATGTTTTTGCTCATCTGGGTTTCTTTAAATTTGGAACTTTTTGTAACCGGGTGAGAATTTTACAGAAAGTTAAAATCTTTTTGGTATTCAATTTTGTTGTAATGGACTTAAAGATCCCAGAAAATGCACGGTTACAGTCGCTTAGGACGACCAAGTAACGGAAGTGGGAGCATCTCACTGTCTCCTTCATTGCCTTCCTCCCCTCGATTTCATCAGACGTAGCAAAGGCGGCGGCGGAGGTGGTTTCCGAGGCGGTGGTGGTGTAGAGGTGAAGCTGCAGAGTTTTGTGGAGCAGTGGGTTTATGCTGTGGGCGACCTCATGGGGTGAGTTAAAGGGGTTAAAAGAAAAGGTTAAAAAATTTAATTTGATTTTCAAAGCTAATAAGTTGTTTCTGATAAGTTAGATGAGAGTAACTTATCAGAAACTCTTTATTACCGGTTTGACACTGGTATAAGCATCCTTTTTTTTCTTTATTCTATCCAAACATTAAAAATTGCTTATCACCGGTATCACACTGTAATAAGTCAATAAACACTTTAAATAAGCAATCTCAAACACCCGCTTAGTAAATAGTTATAAAATGATTTTCACTTCCATTTTATAAAGTTCTTTTTTTTTTCTGAAATAACCAAAGTTTATGGAAAAAATTACGTGTAAAAAAGTTTTCTTCGTAAAATTTATCTTCAAGGGAAAAACTTTAGAAATGAAACTTTACGTAAAAAATAGGGAGTTTACGCAAAAAAGAGATTTTACGCAGAAAATATTTTCTATGTAAAGTTTTCTGCACAAAGTCCCATTTTTTAGAAAGAAACTTTACGCAGAATATACTTTCTCCGTAAAGTTTCTACATGAAATCCCAATTTTTTTGCATAAACTCATTTTTTTAACTTATGTTACTTTTTTTACTTGAAAATAAGCTTTACCGAGCGTTGGAAATCCAGATCGGCTCAGAGAATCACTGGTGCTATTCAGCCCTTCTTTTTCGACAACAAAAAAGTCACCTTTGACGATTTCACATTCCTTCCCTACCGAGCCGCCTCTCTTCGCTATTCGACGTCAAAAAGTCTTTTTCTGCCAAAGCTTTTTGCATAAACTCTTTCTTTTAAGTTAATTTTCTTTTTTAAACTTGAAAATAAACATTATGGAAAAAAGGATTTTCTGTGTAAAGTTTTTTTTTAAAAACTTTGGCTATTTCAATTGATAGGTTTCTAAGATGGCTAAAAAGTGAAAATTATTTTGTAAAATGGTTATTTACATAAATTTCCATATTTGGTTGTAAATCTTGCATATGTACTTGTACTTCTTGTAATTTTTTTATTTTCGATTATGAAGGCCGGTGTATTAACTTACGAGATAATGGGTATATTTATTAGTAACTTAATTAGCTAAATAGAACTTGACGAAGGATCGTGTTTGAAGAGAAGTTATGATGAGAAACATATCTAGAGATCTGAACCATTGATCACTTTTAATCGTATTTATTGATAGTGTTCCTTATATTTCTGGGAGGGACTTGAGTGTAAATAATAGGAAGTAAATCTATATATATATATATATATATATGAAAGGAGAAACCAAACATAATGAAGTGACACTTTATAATGCTTAGAACTTCTCCTATCTTTTTTTGATTTTTTAAAATGTTGAATATGTTAAAGACTTTTCTGTCCCTGTATGAAAAATGTATAGCTCATAATTAATGCGGGTTTTTTTTTGTAATTTTGTATACCCAAGTTTAATCTCCAAGTCTTGATTTGCTCTTCCATTTACTTTCTTAATGAAATTTGTTTTTCAAAGTTTCAATAATAAACAAAATGAAATCCTAGAAATTCCTTTGGTGAGGGATGAATAAGGTGAGAGTTGAAGAAGATTTTTATAAGGTATGTAGAAATTATATGTGATTTGTTATTACATATTTCTTTTTCAATATTGTTGGATTTGTTGTTATCATATGATATGATTGTGTTTATGATTGGATCATATAAATTCAAATAAAATTTTGATATTTTGTAATCACGGGATTTGATAATTTTCTTTCGAATTTAAATTTCATTAACAATAACTATTTATATGTGATTGATAATTACGTTACATTTTGAGTACTTCAAGATTTTTTCAATTGATAGAAATCATTTGGTGAGTAATGAATAAATAAGAGTCGAAAAAACTTAAAAGATTTTAAAAAGGTATGTAAAAATTATATTATTTAGAAAATGTGATTTTTTATTACATATTTTTTTTCAATATTGTTGAATTTTTGTTATCGTAAAACATGATTGTGTTTATGATTGGATCATATAAATTCGAATAAAATTTTGATATTTTATGATTACAAAATATTAATAAAAAACGAATTTAAAATCCGTCGACAATAATTATTTATACGTGATTGATAATCATCAATATATATATATATATAAATATATATATATATATATATATATATGTTAAAGGAGAAACCAAATACAATAGATGTCTTCCTCTAAATATTATAAACTTATCTTTCTATTTTCCTAGATTTTTGAGTTTTTAAAATATTTGATATGTAAAATATTTTTTCATCCCTATTTTTAAAACATGAAATTCATTAAAATAGGATTGTTTTGGTAATTTTAAAAAGCTTAACCTCCAACCTTTCCCTCTTCATTCTTGGAGATAAAACTTCTAAACACTTCCATGTGCTCCTCCATGATTTGTCAATGTTTTTATAATATTAAATAAGTTATTATATTCTACCCCTAAATGATAAATATGTAAGAAGACTTTTTTGATTACTTCAAACTTAATTAGCTTTAACTGTCACATTGCATAACTTCATAGGGATATTCATTATACTATTTTCATTTTTTCATCTACTAATTAAAATAAACTTACAACAAATAGTGTGACACACTGTCAGAAGATGATTTTTTAAAAAAGGTTTTCTCATTATTTTAAACTTAATGAAATGTTAAATAGGTTAAATATTTTGTTACCCGTGAATGAAAAATGTGGATTTCATTATTTTTCTCTAAAATGAAAACAAATTTTTTAAGTCAGAGATGTTCTTAATGAGCATTTGACATCATTATCTTATACAAATCTAGAAGTAAAAGATGAAGCTTCTTATGTGAAACTTTGTGAAAAAAGTTTTTTCATATTTTTTTTTTCAAATCTTTTAGATTTTTTTAGATTTATTTTCTTGGTTATACTAATTGTCTTTATTAACTCATAAATGTTCTAAACTTTTCGTTTTTTATTCTGTTTTTTTATCCCATCTATATATTATATCTCATTTAACATTTTTTCTTTTGTTTTACTAATTCTTCCATCATATTTCAAACTATACAATCGAATGTTTAAATCAAGATGAAAGCTACATTATTTATGGCCTATTTTATGTTTTTATTTAAGTTATTTGTTGTTATTGATGTGTTATTTTTTGTTCGGAATTTTTTTATCATCGATATCGTTGTTCTTTCTCCATAAAATTCATGTAAGAATTGTTACATTTTATATTTATGATTTGTGTGGGTTATTTGTTGTTGATAAATGTTTCTTATTTCATGTTATTAAATTTTGTTAATTATTATTACATTTATTTTTCTGTGCATTGTATATTGTATTTTTTGTTATATATAATGATTTTATTGTCCATACCGAATGTTATTTCTCTATAAACTTTTTCGGGTAACAAATATTACATCTTAATTTATGATTTTTGTGGGTTATATGTTGTTGACGAATGTTTTGTTCAAAGATTTCTTCTCTATTATATTTTATTGACTATGGTTCTTCATCATCTTTATTTTTGGAAGTTATTTATGTTGCGTGTGTATTCTATTATATTTTATTTAGAAAATGTGATTTGTTATTACATATTTCTTTTTTTTTCAATATTGTTGGATTTGTTGTTATCGTAGAACATGATTGTGTTTATGATTGTATCATATAAATTCGAATAAAATTTTGATATTTTATGATTACAAAATATTATAAAAAAACGAATTTAAACTACGTCGACAATAATTATTTATACGTGATTGATAATCATCAATATATATATATATATATATATATATAGAGAGAGAGAGAGAGAGAGAGACTTGGGATCATGTGAGACCAGCCTGTTTTCGTGAGACACGTGAGACCATCTTTTTACACTTGAAACTTCACAGCAAAATGCTGTGAAGGTGACTTTTTTTAACCTTCACAGTGTTTTTGCTGTGAAGGTTCGACTTTTTTTTTTAACCTTCACAGTGTTTTTGCTGTGAA